GGTTGGGGGTCGGAGCGGAGGCAGGAGCCGGGGCTGGGGCCGCGCTCACCCGGCGGTCTGCCCGCAGCTCCTTTCAGCAGCGCCTGTCCTACACCACGCTCAGCGACTTGGCCCTGGCGCTGCTCGACGGCACTGTGTTCGAGATCGTGCAGGGGCTTCTGGAGATCCAGCACCTCACCGAGAAGAGCCTGTATAACCAGCGGCTGCGGCTGCAGAACGAACACCGAGGTGTGTGTGTTGGGAGGGGGGCCTTCCCAGGGCGTCTCCGGTCGCAGGAGCCTCGGGTGGTGCAGAGCCCGTCTATGCTTGCCCTTTTAGCCCGCTGCTCAGAAACTTCTTAGTTGCGGTCCCCAGGTCCCCGCATTCTCCTAGGCAGGATGGGCCGTGCTGCTTGTAGGTCTGTTGACAGGTCTGTCGTACCAGTTAGATAGCCCGTTATTCGTAGCACCTTCCCGTTGGAGTCTCAGGCGTGATCGGTTTCTGGTGTCCGAAATTATACTAGGCTGCTCCCGTTGTTCCATCAGGTCTCCCTCCCATTTTATTGGCTCCGAGCTTGACTCGGTTCACACATTGTAGGGAAGTTGAGGGACTAGTGTGACTGTCCCCGTGCTCTCCACTAATACTTCGCCATAGATCTTTGGGCTTTGTTATTACTTTGGATTTTGATACTGAGGACTGAACCCAGGGCCTCACACATGCTAATCAAGTTCTCTATATTGAGTTATATTTACATGCAGACATTCCCAGCCTTTCTGGGACAGGTCGTGTCTGTGTGCTGCCAGACAGGAGTTCCCCCATTAGAAATGTGTGTTGGATTTTGTTAAAACCTTTCCAGTTCCTATGGAGATGATCCGGTGGCTTTTCTGTTACTACAGTGAGTGACAATGATTTCTAAATTCCTGACATGAACTGCATCCTGGGAATCCATCCTGTATAGCCATGATGTATTTTTCTTTTATGTATGTTGTTTTTTAAATTGTGTGTAGGTTTATGTGTAGTGTTCATGTGGGTGTGTACATGTGTATGTGTGCACTTGTGTGCCCATGCATGTGGAGGCCAGAGGTAGGCTGATGTCCTAGTTAGGGTTACTATTGCTGTGATGAAACACCATGACCAAAAGCCACCCGAGGAAAGGGTTTGTCTTACACTTCAACGTCACTGTTGATCATCGAAGGAAGTCAGGGCAGGTCTTGGAGACAGGAGCAGATGCAGAGGCCATGGAGGGGTGCTGCTTATTGGCTTGCTCCCCATGGTTTGTTTGATCTGCTTTCTTACAGAACCCAGAACCACCAGGTTCTGGTGGCACCAGAGATGGCACCATCCACAATGGGGTTCGCCCTCCCCCATCAATCACTAATTAAGAAAATGCCCTACAGGCTTGCCCACAGCCCAGTCCTATGAAGACATTGCCTTAATCAAGGCTTCCTTCTCTCAGATGACTTTAGCTTATGTCAAATTGACATAAAACTAAAGCCGGGTGGTGGTGCACGCCTTTAATCCCAGCACTTGGGAGGCAGAGGCAGGCAGATGTCTGTGAGTTCGAGGCCAGCCTGGGCTACAGAGTGAGTTCCAGGAAAGGTGCAAAGCTACACAGAGAAACCCTGTCTTGGAACTAACCACACGGCAACGCATGTCTTCCTGTTTCTCTCCACCTTATTTGTTGACACCAAACCTGGAGCTCACTGATTGGATCCTGGGGCTGGCCATTGACCTATAGGGAGCAGCCTGTCCCTGCCTCCCCAGTGCTGAGCCTACAGAGCACGCTGCTGTGCCCAGCTCTTGACATGGGGGCTCATGATACTGACTGAGTCACTTCCCATCTTGGTCTGTTGAATTTGATTCATGAGAATCTTAGGGGTTTTGCCTTATTCCTGATAGACAACAACCTTTTAATTTTTTGTAATATTTTTGTGGGTATGAAGGTAATGCTTGCCTCAGAATGTTTTGAGAAGTCTCTTCAGTTTTCCAAGAGTTTTATTTCCTCACCAAATGTTGGAGTGGCTGTGTCTTTTTGTTAATGTTTTGGTAGAGGTATATGGTGTATCTAGTTCGTAAGTACATGACTCAGTTCATTATTTTCTTTTCTCTCTTGGTTTACTAAGACAGTGTAGTCTAGAACTGGCAGTCCTCCTGCCTCAGCGTCCCCAGTGCTGGGATGCCAAGTCTGGGCCAGGCCCTGCTTTGCTCAGTTTTCAGTGTCCTGACTGCCTTGTGTGACCAGCAGGAGGCTTTGCCTGGCTCCTTCTCTTACATCCATCATTCTTCCAGCACTTTCCTTCCGGTACCAGAAAGGAAAGACCTCCACTCTTACTTTTAATTGTTCTCCCCTGACTTGATCTGGAATTGGCCATTATTCTGCAGAGCCCTTTTATCTGGGATGTTTTTGGTACCTGCCTCAAGCCTTTGCCATTTGTCTTTCAGAAAGCTTGGCCCAGGCTCTGGTGCACCTGGCAGTGCAAGCCTCCGCTGCCTTCAGCCAGATCCAGAAGGTGGTGGCGGGATGGGCACCTTGTTTCCCTTGCTCATTACCATGCCCAGGCCCCTCCTGAGCGAGCGGCCAGAATGGAATCTGGGAATTGACCTGGGACTTTTAGCGGTGTGCATGTGCCCGTTCCCACAAGCCCTGTGTCTACCTCATGTTCCCTGCAACCAGATAATTAGGCAGTCTCTCTCTTGTCCTTGTGTTGATAGACTTATATTGAGGTGCCCCTCATTTTCAAACAACAATACATGGTATCATTGAAGTATGTACAAAATGCTGAGAACGAGGGCACTGTAGAGGCTATCAGACTCAAGGAGCCTCCCTGAAGAGAGCTGCCTGTGAATCTCTTCTAGGAGTAGGAGGTTTTGAGTTTCCTCAGGGCCGGCCAGCCACACTCCCATTTTATGTGCAGACTGGTGTGGTATGTTCCATTTTGTGATGGCAATTCCTCATCATCCCATGTCCTATCTGTCAGTGTTCCCATCAGGGCATGTACAGTTTGTACATGTCCATACATGTGGCACAGTTGATCAGGGACCAGGTACTTAGCCTGCTGGTAGAGGGTCAAACAGACTTCCCAGTGCAGACCCCTGTTGGCTCACAGTATGAGCCTGTGCACACCTCTGCTGGCTGCTGGGCAGCGTCTGCTGGGCTCACCTATAGGGCAGCACCAAGCTTGATTTGACACGGCACTACTGGCAGACAGAGCCCCTTCCTTCTCTTATGGGCTTCTGGCTCTAATACTTCAGTAGGTGTCCTTGGGTGATGTCCTGTGAATGGTGTTCAGGATAGCACAGTTAGAACTGTGCCGCCTGACTCCAGCGACCGCCTGCCTCAGGCACCTGTGTGCCTCCTGTCCCTGCCCTGGGTGTTCTGAGCTCTGAGGTCATTGCCATCCCTGCCTAACCTGCAGCCCTCTCTTAGCACCCTGGAGGTGGAGGACTTCTTAGACTAGGCCTTCTTAGACTAGGCCTCTAACCCAGCTCCCGCTGCCAGCTCTCAGCTGCCCCCTCTTCCCAACACCTCTCTTGCTGACAACTCTCTTTCCCTCCTAGTGCTCAGGCAGGCTCTGAGGCAGAAGCATCTGGAAGCCCAGCAGACCTGCCGGCCCCACAACTTGCCAGTACTCCAGGCAGCTCAGCAGCGCGAGCTGGAGGTAGGAACTGGGACGGGATAGCTGGTCCTGGCTCAGTGGAGGGCTGAGGGTGGTTCAGAAGCTGAGCTCATGGCTTGCTGGAGGCTTGGAGAGGTCCAGCTCATGGCTTCTCCCATGGGGCCTGACATACCCTAGCTGAGGAGTCACCGCCCATCTGTCACTCCCGGTCCTCCCAATGAGCGTCTCTGTGGACTGGAGCCTAATGAGCAGCCAGGAGACCGAGTCAGGGTGCTGAAGCCAGTGGCTGGGTGGCCAGAGCAGCCAGGAGACTGAGTCAGGGTGCTGAAGCCAGTGGCTGGATGGCCACAGCAGTCAGGAGACCGAGTCAGGGTGCTGAAGCCAGTGGCTGGGTGGCCAGAGCAGCCAGGAGAGGAGCCGGGTCAGCTGTAGACCCACGGGACGTCAACAAGCCATGGTGTTAGGGTGGTGGCCCCAGGGGGCTGGGACTGCTGGGTAGCCTCTGCTAAGCCACAAGCAAGGATGCCGTGGCCCTGGAACCAGAACCGCCATGGGTGGGCAGGGTAGCCAGGAGGGAGGAGCAGGCGGGGATGTCTGAGGCATCCCTGGGGGGAAGCCCCGGCAGGAGCCACCCTCACTCAAGCCATGGCAGGCCATGGAGCATCGAATCCGGGAGGAGCAGCAGGCCATGGACCGCAAGATTGTCCTGGAACTGGACCGGAAGGTTGCTGACCAGCAGAGCACACTGGAGAAGGCAGGGGTAGCTGGTTTCTACGTGACCACGAATCCTCAGGTCAGCACCTAGGCCAGCCCTGCCGAAGCCTGTATCCCTGGCCCCTGAAGGTTCGGTTCTACCTGGAGCTCGTTTTGTTTGTATTTATTTACACTTTGGCGGGACAAGGTCTGCTGTACTGCTCAGGCTGGCCTTGAACCTGGAGTCCTCCTGCCTTGGCTTCTAAGCATGGGATTACAGACATATGTCAATACACCCGGTCCCTGGAGTCTTGGCACATTGGTTCTTCATGAAGCTTAGAGTTAGTGGTGGGCAGAGATGAGGTGGAAGGCCCTGGGAAGGACGTGGAGGTAATGCCCACCTGTCCAGCCTTGCAGAGGCTTCCACCTACCTCCTGCATGCTAGCTTCCCGTGGCCACTCTAAGGAAGCCAGTCAGAGACTGCTGTCCTAGGTGCCAAGGCCCAGATTCTCCCTCTGCCTGGCCATAGCCACCTTCCCCTTAGCCTTACTACCTGACGTCTTCTAGGCCCTTGTATGTCTTAGGCCAAGACGAAAGGGCACGGGGTGTCGGGCTGGCCCTTACAGGGCCTCTCTTACATCCCAGGAGCTGACGCTGCAGATGAACCTGTTGGAACTCATCAGGAAGCTACAGCAGAGAGACTGCCAGGTGGGGAAGGCAGCCCTGTGACCAGGAGGGCCCTGCTGTCCTCCACTGCCTGGGATGGCTGGTAACAGGTGTATCTTTGTGATTAGATGCTGACTGCACCTGCTGCTGTCCTCGGTCCAGATTTGGGGGAGGGGTCCAAGCAACAGGAATGGTATCTGGAGAAGGTCCCATGACTGAACATTGAGTAGGGTGTGGGTTCTAGTGCCTCCCCTCTGGGCACACCCACATTCCCTCCAGGCTTGGCTTCTGCTTGTTCTGGAGTGGCCCCAGCTTGACAGCCCCAGCTCTGGGTAGAAGAAGCTCCAGAACCCAAGCCCTGTGTGGCCTAGAAAAATAAAGACTCCAGCACATGGTTTGTGTCTGTGCTAGCAAGGATCCTCTCCTAGTGACTCTTGCCATGCCGGAGCCAGCAGAGAGGCAGAGACCATGGGCAGTGGCCTTCCGAGATACCCAGTCAAGCCCTTATATGCCTCTCATTGTCAAGAACCCACCTCCGAACTGCTGAGGAAAACTGGAGAGCTTAGCAGGAGGTGGGGGACCTGCCGCAGAGCCAGCTAGGGTTGAGTTTCTGGAGTGAAGGGCGCAGAGGGCCAGGAGGCGAGGGGAGCTGGGCCTTGCATCTGTGTGCTGCCTGCCCTCAGCCACAGCCTGGAATGCAAGCGGCTGGCTAGGTGTCACTGCAGCCAGACACATGTCCCTCCCCAGTGTCTGGATTGGAGTGGCCTCTGGAACTCCAGGGAATATTCCATCCAGGCCAGCCCCTCTGCTGCTCAGAGCTGACTTCATGTGCAGGCACTAACAGAAAGGCGATGGTTCTCAGTACAGCATGATTTATTGACTAAACAGGCTTCTGCCCTCCGCCCACCACGGGGTCTTGGAAGGTGGGTTAGACCCTGGCAGGTATTCTGGACTGGGGCTCTGCAGCCTGCGGAGGTGATGAGTGCCCACTGGGAATAGTGGGTCAGCTCCCAGTGACTCTGGCCAACCCCATACCTGAGTGTCTGCCCCTGGAGGTGCAGGATGTCCCGGGGGCAGCCCCCACCTCAGCACCTCAAAGACTTGGATCTAAGAAGGTGAACCCTGTTGGGGTAGGTTAGGCTAAGGAATCCCAGCCCACCCAAAGCTGTGCCCTGCCTGAGGCCCCAGAGCTAACAGGTTGAGTGGAGTAGGTGTGGGCATGGTTCCTGCGGTGACTAGGCCGGGTGGTGGAAGAGGTTGCCAGTGCGCAGGCGCCTGCGGAGCTCCTGCCAGAGCAGCTGCCTCTCTCGCTGGGCCCTTGTCATGATGCTGCTGTTCTCCAGGGCACGGCGGGACAGGTAGGGCAGCACCTCCATCACAGGACCGTAGGGTACATATTTGTACACGGGAAATCCTGCCTGGCCTGCACACACACAGCTATGAAGGCCCACGCTCACGGTGTGCCTCCCGCCCCCCTGCACACACCCAGGACAACCCAGCTCACCTAGTGGGAAGCTAATTTGGTCGCACATCCCCAGCAGCTGTCCGAAGCTCACCTGGCCATCATCAGGATGCAGGCCTAACTCCTCCATCCTGGAAGGGGCCGTGCTGGTGAGGACCCACCCCAGGACACAGGCACCCTGATGTAGCTCTGAGCCCCTCTTCACCCACATTCCAGCCTGTCTCCAGTGGGCTGGGGCAGGGACCCGGGAGAGCCAGGGCAACTTGCTTTTCCCATCCCACTGCCTCCGACCCCTTCTCCACCTCCAGTGCCCCTATAGTGCTCTGAGCCTTGGCTCTAGTGACGGGCACGTCATTCTCCCTTGCTGGCCGCACAGCTCTCGTTTGGTCTGAATGGAAAGCAGAGATGTACTATGGCTATCACATGCTATCAACACGTTGACTCAAAAAATAAAATCATTTGTAACTTGCCTACTAGAAAATCCAGTCATGACTATGGATTACATTGTACTACACGTATGTGTGCTTAGTGTTCATGCGTGTACATGCACGTGACCAGAGGACCACTTGGGTATTGTTCCTCAGGAGCCATCCATTGATTTTTGAGACAGTCTCCCAGGGCTCACCACTTTGACTGTTCCTGTGTCTGGCTCCCCAGTGCTGGGGTTACCAGTTCTTACCCCACACCGGCTTTCTTACGTGGGCTCTGTGAATCAAGCCACAGTCCACGTGCTCACAAGTCGAGTCACTTGTGCTCGACTGGAAGGTGGGGCAGCTGTCCCCGCAGGATCTGACTGCGCATTCCTAGTTTAAATGTCTGCGCGGTGATAACTACCTCATCTCCAGCTTCCTAGCTCCAGGCGGCACATTGAGCACATCCCAGGACACAGGACCCTGGGTCTCTCTGCACCCTATTCATGGCAAGGCCTGGGATTTCCATCCCTTCCCCTAACATTCAGTTGTTCCCATCATCTCAGTCCTGACCCTGCCCCAGGCTGGCTGGAGCATGGGAGAGCCCTGCAGGTGGGAGTCACCCCCACCCACTGCCCAGCCCAACCTCTCAGCTTCATTGCTTCTTTAGGAAGCCCCACAGGGTGGCCCAGCCTGGGTGTAGGCTAGCCCACTGTGCTCTGCAGCCTGGGTGTAGGGTTAGCCCACTGTGCCGTGGAGCCTGAGCCTGACTCCTGGGCTGACTCAGCAAGACCACTGTACAGGGTCTACCAGATTTTTTGCATCCAAATCCAGAAACATGGAGATGGGGGATGGGGGCTATTGGGGCCCTGGTAATTACGGAAAATGTACCAGACTCTCTAAGACTTCACCTATTTCTGTATTTGACTTGTTAGAACTCTACCAAAGTTGCACTCCTTGGGATAAGTATTCAAAGAAAAAAAGATTACATTAAATTCCAGCGCGGTTTAAAATGCTACAGGAAACTTGGTAAACACGAGGCCACACTTGGCCAGGCTCCCCAGGCCCGGGATCTACCCCTGGATCTGTCTCTCAGCCGTTTTTTGTCACCTAACAAAATTTAGTTTTGAACTTGATAATTGGTGTTTCAAAAACTAGAGTAGCTAGGAACCTCCTGGAGGGTAAGGTCAGGAATGACGGACAAGCCTGGTGCCTGTCGGCATCTATAGGCTGCAGCTGTGTCCGCTCATTCCACACGTTACCACCCTCCCCCACCCAGACACTCTGCACACCTAACAGGTCGCGTGTGTTCCCTCAGCCTGGTACCACCTGCCACCCACAAGCCACCGAGAAGCCCCCAAGTCCGGCTGGCAGAACCCACCTGCGGAGTGTGAAGCTTACTGTGTCTTCATTGTGGGAAGCCACCATCACCTCTGCCCTGGGGTTGCGCTTCAGCTCCTCCAGGACGTAGTTCAGGCACCTGGGACAGGGACAGCCCCACCTAAGCTTGGCGCCAGGCCAACCACCCCCTGAACCCTTGTGGCTCTGCAGGCCATGGTTGCAGCTGCGGCCAGGGCGAGAGCCTCAGAAACGAGGGCCTCCCTAGCTGGTGATTGTGAAACCTTCCTGCCTGGAAGGAGGGAGGCTCCTAAGATTCAAGAAGATAAGGACATCTGCATAGGAACTCACTGCTCAGTGCAGGAAACCCGGACAGTTAGATTGACAAGCCCCTCCCACGGTTAGAAAAGCATAAAAGCCGTAAGTGTAAGCGGGGCGGAGACTCCGTGGAGCTGTCTGCAGGGTGGTTGGGGGCTCCAGGGATGCAGCTTCTGTTGAATTGTCCTCTCTGCTGGGGTGAGTGAGGGTTTCACTGATGCCACTGCGTGAGTCACCCCAGTCATGTGACGCCCATATATTCCACTGGTTAACCACACTAGATTTGGATGGTACCAATCCGTCCTTGGTGTTCCTATCAGGGGAATCATTAGTTCACATCTCCCCAGCAGTCGGATCCTACCAGGGCTGAACTGTGGCTTGGCTTCTGGGCAGGGACCCTATAGCACACTCGTGGAGGCCTCAGGTAGGGTGGGTGTCCCTGAGCACCAGACACGCGCTCTCTGACCCAAGAGGTCAGTTTCTAGGAACATCCCCCAGCTGTGCTTACAGCAGGAGGGCAGGATGGTCAATGAGTCCAGGACCATACCCGGAAAAGGCCATGGGCCTGAACATACCCTGGGTGTCCTGTCCTGGCAACTGCTGAAATAGGAGATGGAGTCATTAAGAGGCAAGGGGCAGAGGGCAGCGTGTGCAGCGTAAACATTGGCATGTGGCACTGCCTGATGTGCAGCGACTCTTGAAATGGAACAGGAAGGAGCCGGGACCCAAGGTTTGCAATAAGCAAGCACAGCCTGGGGGAGGGGGGCGTGAAGCCGGACTGCATGCACTGGCAACACAGGTTATGTGGGTAAGTGGTCACATGCTGTTTGAGTTCATTGAGACGCTGGTCCTCGAAGTGGGGTTGCCCCCACACTCCAGATCACAGCGTATTCTGTCTGAAGTCCACACTCACACCCCCCCATTACATCAGGCTAGCCCCTTGGTTCTGTCACCATGAGAGAAACGAGCACTGGGGACATCTTTAACAGCTAGATGTCAAAAATCCAAAAGTTGACATTGTTGATCTCACAAAATGTTTCCAGTAGGAAGGCAAAAAGCTGGTCCTTCAGAGCAGACGGCTGTCCGGGACTCCCCACCAGGAGCCCCAGCACCCCTGTCTGTCTGGGTGGGGCTACCCCGCACCCCTGTCTGTCTGGGTGGGGCTTCCCCGGCACCCCTGTCTGTCTGGGTGGAGCTTCCCCGGCACCCCTGTCTGTCTGGGTGGGGCTACCCCGGCACCCCTGTCTGTCCGGGTGGGGCCACCCCGCACCCCTGCTGGCTGTGGGCACTACTCCAGCTGTGTGCTTGACCTTATGGGCCCACGACTTGGTAATGTTCACTATCTGCTGCTTCTTTCCGTTAATCCTTTTGCTTGCCGTACGCTTAATAAACCACCCAGAACTGAAGCACAGCTAGCCTAGATCATTCTCCATAACATCCAGAACAACTGCACAGGAGGCCCCAGTCAGAACCGGCAGAGAGAACGGGTGTGCCACTGCCCCTGACTGCCATGCTGAGCTGAAAAGCTGACAGGTTGAGCCTGCCACTCGGGGCAAGCCAGGCACCTGGGATGGATCTCTTTCCCCTCACCTCCTCCCCTCTCTCATCCAAGCATGACTTTGAACTACTGCTCTTCCTGCTTCTCCTCCCAAGTGCTGGGATTAAAGGTGTCCACAGTCAATCAGACCTGGTTTATGTGGTGCTGGGGTTCAAACCCAGGGCTTCAGGCATGTTAGGCAAGCACCCTGCTACATGCGCTGTATCAGTTGTTTCAAGTGTCAGCAGAAGCCAACTGGGGGCAGAGGCCAGTACTTATCCATATTCAAGAGGAAAAATCTGATGTTTTGGAAAAAGGGTGACCGTAGCAGAAATAGCACCTCTGCCCTCCGGAAACTGGCTCTGCCTGAATGGGGCCACCACACTCGGGGCCAAGGTTCTCTTGCATCGTTCCAAGAAGGCACAGAAGGCCCTCTCACCTGTGGTACATGGCATTGGTGGCCTCGTATGTAGGGTTGACGGGGTCCTCATAGCCGATCTCCACAGCCCTGGCACGCTCTTGGGCCATGTATGCACCACGTACCAGCTTGGCCCCAAAACACCAGCCCTCACGGCGAGCCAGTTCCATATCCATGGTCACATTGTCATAGGCATCCTGCAAGGCCAAGCTCAAAAGTCACAGGGAGCCCCACTGGTCAGAGCACCGGGACTACCTGCTTCATGTGTGTCTCAGCTTAAAGCGCCCAGGCCGGCCAGGGGTTACCTGAGGGACGCGCCCCTCAAAGGATGTGGGAGACAGATGTGGATGAAGCTGGGCCTCCAACCTCCAACCCCAAAGAAAGGTGACAGACAGTGGGGCCATCTAAGCCTCCTCTGTGTAGCCTGAGATGGCCCTGTGGGTGCCAACCCAGATGCCTGGAGTTACTGTGTATTTCAGAGTCACCTTGGCAAGTTAGGAGCAAATTGCCACCTGTCTGGGACTGCCCCCATACACACCATGTCCTCTTGGTGCCCAGCAACTTAGGAACCTCAGGCTGCCGGGCTCGACTTGGGGTTTTTCTGGGCTCCCAGGTCTACTTCAGCCCTGTCAATCTTCCTGGGGAGTCTGGTGATTTTTTTCAGATTTTTTGTTTGTTTGTTTGTTTGTTTTGGTTTTTCGAGACAGGGTTTCTCTGTGTAGCTTTGCACCTTTCCTGGAACTCACTTGGTAGCCCAGGCTGGCCTCGAACTCACAGAGATCCGCCTGCCTCTGCCTCCCGAGTGCTGGGATTAAAGGCGTGCGCCACCACCGCCCGGCGATTTTTTCAGACTCTTAAGAGGGTCCTGTGCTAATAATGGCAGTCAGCTATGAGTCTTCCGAGGAGCCCAGGAACATCCTCGCCCTCTGTCCTCACGCACTTTTACTTGCATTTTGTTAGTACTGTGGGAAGGTGGTCTGCAGGGCACCGTCCTGCACATGTGGGAGTGAAGGGAAACTTAGAGAGAAGTTGGCTCTCTCCATTCACCACCTCAGGTTGGCAGGCGTGCAGAGCAAGTGTTTTCACTGCGTCATCTTGCCAGACCACACGCACACTCTTGGCTGGGTCCTGGACAGGGTCCCAGGGATCTTGTTTCCTCCTTTGCAACCGGCACCAACCCAACCTCTCCTGCAAGCCCAGGTGCCCCACTGGGCAGGGCCTGTTTCCTCCACAGTTGAACTCAGTCTAGGGTGAGTAGCCTGCGCATTCCTTTACCTGTGCTGCTCTGGCCTCTGCACAAAGCAGGCCCGTCAGATACTGCATGGCGCCCTAGAAAGGCAGATCCCTGCGAGGTGGTGGGTCATACCACCTGGGAGAGGTCTCAGCCCCGCAGTCAGGCACTGGAAACAGGCAGGGAGATAGGGAGGCGGGAGGTGGATGGCTGTACCTTGAGGTAGCACTGGAATGTGTTGAAGATGAGCGGCTTATCCACATTGAACCTGCGCTGCATCTCCAGGGCGAGGCGGCTGATGGCCGGCTGGAAGTAGCTCTGCTCAGCATCTATCATCAGCCGCACGCCTGCATCTCTGGCTTTCTGAGAGGCACACAGGGAGGAAGAACCTATGGTTGAAGGTTGATGCCTTCCCTCTGCTCAGGTGCTGGGGCCCTAATGCTCTGTGTCCCCCACCACTACCACACACACACACACACACACACACACACACACTGGCAGGGCTGTTCACATCTTGGCCAGCACATCCATCCTCCCCTACGCCCCCCCCATACACACACAACGAGTCGATCACACCTTGGCCAGCACATCCATCCTCCTCCCACCACCCACCCCACCCCACACACACAGCTGCTCACACCTTGGCCAGCACGTCCATCCTCCTCCCCAACACACACACACACACACACACACACACCCGCTCACACCTTGGCCAGCACATCCATCCTCCCCAACACACACACACACACACACACACACCCGCTCACACCTTGGCCAGCACATCCATCCTACACACACACACATACACGCACACACGCACACACCCGCTCACACCTTGGCCAGCACGTCCATCCTCTGCAGCATCCTCTTCATCTGCTGCTCCTCCTCCTCCGTGAACCGGGACAGCAGGGGCTCTAGCTGGCCTGTCTGAGGGTTACAGCAGAAGTCAGGCCACTGTGGGCCACAGTGCTCCACCTGAGGCGAGTCACACTGGAGCAGTGCTCTCCTGCCCACTCTCCTGCCCTGTCAGGGACCAGAGAGGCCGCCTCTCAGTACCTTGCCTTAAACCAGTTAGATACAATGACAAAATGGCCCAAGCTGAGAGCCAGCCCACTCACTGTCCTACACGTGAGGAAAGCTGTTACCGTGTAAGCCGCACCAGGCCTAGGCCTGTGTCCCCAGGAGTTTATTTCTATGGCTCCCTTCAATCCTGAGATCAGTAGGGAACCATGCAAAAAAAAAAAAAAAAAAAAAAAAAAAAAAAAAAAAAAACAAACCTAAAAGGGAGGGGAGGAGAACCTTGACCCCAATCAACCAGAAGGCCCCATGGGGATAGAAAAGTCTTGAGAGGAGGAGCCATTGGCTATGCGTTACTACTAACTTGCAGCCTGAGACCAAAATGTGGCTTTCAAGGAGCCAAGCAGGTCATTGGTGGGCTGGTGAGAACTGGCAGGATGCACCAGAAACTCCAGGCACCACAGCTCTGCCCCTCCCCCTGCAGCCCCAGCCCAGGATGCTCCTGCAATGCTAATAAGCCATCCGTTCACTGATCCCAGCAGCACACTGAGCACAAACAGCATGTGCCAGAGTCTGTCGGTGACCTTGGGGCGGAGACGTCATGAACACGCTGAGGTTCCAGGACAGTGGCTCAAAGTTTGGTGTGGGCCCTCGGTCTCGGGGGCTAGAGACACAACAGAATAAACGCCTGAAGGTCCCGTGGCTGCTACTGCTGTTCCTCCTTCAGAACCCAGAGCAGGGGTGTTCCACACACCACTTCCCCGAATTCAGGCCACACCAGCAACTCTCTTTGCCAGGCTGAACTTGGCGTGACTTCTAAGGCCATGCTGCAAAAGTCAATGCAGCTTCTGCCTGGCCTTCATCTCAGGGGACACTCACTCTGGGAACCCAGCCACCATGTTTGGAAGAAAGCCCAGGTGACGGTCAGCACCACCTTCCGCACGTGAGCAGAGTACCTCCATGACCTGGCCCTGCCTGCCACCCTCTGAGTCCAAGTGACTAGGAGACCCCAGATGAGAACTACCCAGTTGGACCCTGTTCAGCCCTAAAGACTTGTGGTGACCCAACACACCAGACTAGGTGGGCTGGGGAAGACCCTCTCAAGACACCCATCCTCTCCTTGTGTGTAGAGGTCCACTGAGCACTGTGGACACTGCGTTTGTCTTTGTGGTAGGGTCAGAAAGAATGGCACCTCGATCACAGTGAGTCCCCTGGGTGGGCAGACATATGGAATTGGGGGATACCTGCACATTGGGGACCACCAGGTGCCTGGAGAGCTGGGTCCTGCTGTCAATGAGGCTGTTCCAGTCCAGCAAGTCCACAGTGCTGAGGGATGAGGTACATCAGCAGAGCAAGCGGCCAGGAATTCTGGGTCCAACCACCTGGCTTTGCCCCCAAGCACTAGGGTTGTTTGGGGGTCTGACACACACCAGCCCATTCCTCAAATGACTACTTCCAAACTCAGCCTTCACAAAGCCCACCCCAGTGTTTGATTTTAAAGACTAAATACTTCTCTCGATTAAAAAAAAAAAAATTAAAACCAAATCATGGCCACTTTTCCAATGTGTCAGTATCAGTAAAAACAAAGTATACAGAAAATTCGACGGCCAGGTCAGGCTAGAGGAAGAGCCATCAGCGTAAGGCTAGGCAGGATGCAGATGTCACTTCAGGAGGCTGGAGATGCCAATGGGCAGGGCTAGCCAAGGCCACCTGAGAGCCAGCATTCTGACTTGACTTGGGACTCCTGGTGACATGAGTCCCAGCCTCTGTCCCTAAGGATGGGACATGGGGTGCTGACTTCACCCGCCAGTGTGGCTCTTAGGAAGATGCTCTGGGACCCGGGTTGTTTTCTAAGTCTTGTGCCCATGCTGCCTGTGCCCCAGGACTCCCAGCTCACTATCCGCTCCTGTCAGTAATTTCAGGAAGCAGTAGTACCCTGACACTGTCATTCCCAGGGCTCATCCTTTCCTGGAAGGTGACCAGGAACAGAAACCGCTGGGGCTCCGCTGAGACCGTGACTGTGCCGGGGTGGATGTCAGCTCTTACCCAGACACTCCCAGCGTCTCTGGTGTGAACCACCCCTTGATCTCGGCCCTGGACGCGATGCCCATCTTCGCGATGCTTTCCTTGGGAATGGAGAAGGCAGAGGCAGTTGCCGTCTCTCAGTCCGTTAACACCCATCCCCACCTCCACTCTGAGAGTGAGTGTCATATCATCTATGACAACAGGACTCATTTCAGGGTCATTTCTGTTCCTGGTGGCCGTGGTACCTTTCCTATCTTTGCCGTTTCCCACATCAGCTCTCTGCTGAGCCAACTCCCTACCCCCCCCCCCCATACACTCTGTAGACAGTGGAGCCGTCCAGAGTTCCCACCACAGCACTGTTCCCCCCTTTCTCCCCTCCACTGCCCCGGCTACACCCCCAAACATCTCCCAGACCCCACCTTAGACCACTGTAGGTTCCAGGGGAAGGGGAAGGGCTGCTCACCTGGAGCACCGTCACCTCCAGCTTTGTGTCCACAGCAGCACGCCCAGACTGCCCCTGCTCTGCGGCCATTTGATGAAAGAACCGTCTCCACCTGGTCAGCACATCTGAGAACTGCAGCTGCCAGTGCAGGTGTGAGCCCCACTGCAGCCAGTGCCCAGCTCCTCCATCCAGTCCTGGGGCCCCCTCTGTAGCCCCAGATCGCAGCTACCAATCTGAGCCTCTCGGTGCACCTATCAGCCCCAGGTCTCAAAGCCTCTGCAGATCAAATGTGCCACCACTTACCAGAAACTGCGGTCTCCCCAGTGCAGTGAGCTTAATGGCTGCGAAACCACCGTCACTGGCTCCACCTGTCAGAAGCCAAAGGAAGAACCATGAGTGTCTCCAAGGAGACGGATGACTGAGTCAGAGGGGCCAAGTACACCTTGCAGTTCCCTGGTCTTTAAAACCAGCCCCGTAGCCAGCTCCTACACATAGTGATACCCAGTCTCCTAAATGCCCTTGCACATGGCTGCTCCAAGGACCGTGCTACAGAGGTGGGGAGGGCTGATGCCACAGCCTTTGAACTGCAAGAAGACACCAGGCAAAGAAGCCCGAGAGATCTGTACTGCTGGCGGCCTCCTTGGCTGTTTCTTCTTATGCCTTCAGCACTGTAGGCCATCCATGTATGGGCCACAGAGCACAGAAATGCCAAGTGGAACAGGGACTGCACAGAACCCCAGGGGGAACAGTCAGGACAAGCAGATGCCTCTCACCAAAATGCCAAGACGCCAGAGTGCAGTGGTCACACAGGCCACCGTGAGGCAGCTGCTTACTAGTGTCACACCCTGCGGGGTGCAATGCATTTGAAGGTGTGGGGCCCACTACCACACGAGCAGGACCCCGGGAACCCGAGGGCTCAGTGGCCCCATGGCCTAACTGGTCTTCCCATCCTCAATCCTCTTATAAGGAGGAGGAGCTGCAGTCACGGAGGCTGGGTCATCAGCTCCCAGATCTGACCCTCAACCTGAGGGGTGCGGATTCCAGAACTCAGTGTCAGGACACCATACGCAGGGGCAGGCCCAGGGTCAGGAACATGCACAGGAACATGGGCGTGTCAGGGGTCCCCCAGGAGCTGTCAGGGGTCCCCCAGGAGCTGTCAGGACTCTCCACTGCAGCCCTGACCTCCTCCACAAGGCTCTGCCGAGCAGCTAGCAAGTGGGGGGCCCCACCTGAGGCCTCGATGGTTTGCAGTAAATTCTCCATGTAGTTGTCGCACTTGGCTTCGTTGGCATAGAAATAGGTGCGGGCACAGATGACTCCATCTCTGCGGTCTCCAAAGGCAGGGTGGACCTGATACTGCTTCTCCCTCTTATTTGTGCCTGGGAAGGTAGAGACATGGCCTTTTTAGAGATGCCATCCTGGTTCAGAACTCCCTCTTCAATGTCCTGCCCATCCCAGCCCAGGCCAACATCCCAGAGCTGCAACCCTCCAGATGGCCTGCTGAAGGCCAAGGTGACTGAGCCTCCCAGAACTGTTAAAAATACCAGGAGCCTGTATCTCACTAGGAGCCCTCAGGTGGGTCGGGTACAGAGCCAGGACCACCGCTCTGGCCACGGGATGCAGTCTCTGGCTTTGTCTCCTGGGCCACCAGACTGTGTGCTGGCGTGAGGAGAGTGCCCATTCCTACACTCACCGCTGCTGTCTCTCTCTGCTTCAGAAGTGCATGACCTGCAGGACAGAGGAGGAGGCGAAGGTCAGGGCACCAGGAGGCAGCTGAGCCTTGGACTAGACCATGAACCTGACGGAAGACTGGCTCAAGGAAACAGACCAACTTGAGTTAACCCAGCCCTTCCTCAGGCCTGGCATGACCACCTGGGCCAGAGAGAGGATGCCCAGGCTGCCTGTGGGTAGAGCCTTCCTTACTGATGAGGCCAGGCAAGGAGAGGAACAGGGGCCACCCTGTATAAGGGCTCCTCCATTCCAGCAACAATGCCCCTTGCTCTGGACTGCACTCCTAACATTTAAGGTCTCCAGATAGAGTCCCACATACCCTGGCTACTCCCACCCTATGGCCCCAGCCTCTACTAAGGCACTTAGGCTTATTTTCCAAATAGTGACCAGAAATTTTCTTAGAAGATGTAAATGAGACCTTAATATCGCCTCACTGGAAACCTCCCTGGTCCCCATCCCTCGGGGACATCAAGTCCTCCACAGGGCAGGGTGCCGAGGCACATCACAGGGCAGAACACTGCTCCTTCCCTAGCTCTCTCCAGCAGGCCTTCCATCAGTGAGCCTCGGCCATCAAGGAACCTCACTACTCGGCAAATCTGGGCCACCAAGCAACGTGCCGAGAAGCCTTGTCCTGGGCCCTCCTCTCAAGTCCCAGGACCCTAATTCAGACGTTTTGAGCCAGAAACTATGGGGGGGGGGCAGGCCATGTTCTTGGGTGCCTGGGGCTCCCCACAAGCCCCTCAGCCCACAAGGCCACAGCCCAGGGGACAGAAGCTAGGCAGACAGCTACTGCTCCATCTACCCCATGCTGACAAGATGTAACAAGAAAGAGGGTGAAATGTCATTTGTAACAGTGTTCTGAGTCTCTAATGAGGAGGCAGACAGTCCCCATGCGTCACCTTCCCTCAGAGACAGACAGCCAAGGTCCCCGGAGGATATGGGTTCCATAAGAGCAGTGTCAGGTCAACCAGACAAAAGTCCCCAGGGCTATCAGTGCAGGGAGGCGGGCGCAGGGAATCCCCTGAGCAGAAACCCTGTCAAGGAACGAGCCTGGGCTGCTCAATGACCCCCGATGGGAGGTTGGTTATAAAGCCCCACGGCCCGGAGTTTAGATGGTCTGGTCTCCACGCTTTCTGTGCCTTTTTCCATTAGCTAGGGACAGGCCTCGTCTCCGGGTCTGTAGAGCTGCTCACTTCTGGCCAGGTGCAACCAGTGGGCCCTGTAAGATGTGGAGATTGCCAGCCCCCCGTTACAGACTCAGGGCACCGTCAGAGTGGCATCTCACCCTCTTGTTAGTACTTTGAAGGCACAGACACCAGCCGCAGAGCGGGACCCACATCCCCGCCACTTGTTGGCACTGGAGGGTGGGCACTGTTGGGTCAGGAAAGGTCTATTTCTGATGTCCCGGAGCCCAAGCAAAGCTCCCGTGGGACAAGCAGCCATGACAGGCTGAGCAGCCAATGGACATGCACAGACAGGCAGGAAGGGCGGGCCTGCCACCCAACCTCACAGCAAGGCCGCTTGGGTGAGAGCACTCAGTGCTCACGCTATCTAGGCTGAGGCCGAGGAATCCACTTAGTTATTCAACAGCAGCCTCAGTAAAGGCCTGCAACCAAATCCTGAGGTTCACAGGGGATGCAGGGGCTGGGTCACCCCGCCTTCAGAATGGCCAATCACTAAGCAGTGGCTGGGCTCCCAGGCTGAGGCCAGGCTCGGACATTCTGTTCTCTGGGCCAGCAGCCTCACATGACTGCCTTTCCCCGGCCCCTCCTGTTAGCCACCTGGGGAGGAGCAGGGTAGAGTCAACGGCCTGACAAGGCCCATCCTGAGCTTCACGTGTGGAACGACCGCAGCCAGAGACCTAGGACCCCAAACCCAAGCAAGGGCCTCTTAGGGAGGGTGCAGGCCTCCAGAGAGTCAGCTGCCACCCCGGGGGCAGAATAAGGCCACTCTGTCCTGCTGCCAAGGGGGCAGTCTGTGAGCTGTGCTTTCTACTCGTGGCCGGGGGAAAGTTCCTGGGGCAAGCTGGTGCCAGCAGGGTACTCCAGGCTGCCTGTCACAACACACACACCGCTGCCTGCTACAATTCTACTGGCCATGAGTGTCGGCTGGGCCCAGTCTGCAAAGCTCTGCACCCTGCAGGCACAGCCATCTGCAGATTAGGAAACTATCTGAGGACTAGTTGGAACCTGCAGGTCCAGTCAGCGAGGCGGGAATCCTTGGAAAGAGAGATTGTAGATTGTAGCAGAGCAGGAAGCCAGGCACCACCAAATGTTTCTGTGAATGGCTAAGTCTCAGCCTTAGAGGCCACACACTTACACCACTCTGCCCTTGCAAGTTGCAAAGGCAATCTGAATTTTAAATAGTTTTGTATCACAAAATATAGTTCTTGACCTGATAGTTTTCAACCACTCAAAATGTAAAACTGCAGCCTCAGTGCTACGTGATGAGCTGGACATGCCAAGGGCCAGTTTGCAGATCTATCGCTCAGCCCTCTTCTGGTACAGGCTCACAAAAGCACAGTGCTCTGGTCTGCAGGAAAGAAGAACTCTAGCTAGGCACAGCCCATGAGGGCTGCTGGCAATCAGGCCAAAGGCTCTCCAAGTCTTGGCCACCACCTAGCTGAGGCCCCCACAGCCTGGTGCACCTCAGGGTTACATCTGTGCCTTATAACTCCAGAATGGCAGGCCTTACTCCATCTCCTTGCGCTCCGCCTCCTCATGGCTCAGATCTTCCTCCAATCCATAGTCCAGTATGGAGCCAACACCGAAGGCTTTGTTGTGCTGGATCAGAGGCCTGATAGACTCCTGGTCCTCGCCAGCCACAAACTGGCCATAGACGGTCATCTTCATTAGTCTGTCGAACATCCTCTGCCCCAGAAGCTTCCTGGTAACGTGGAACAACTGAAAGGCAAAGGGAAGCAGCTGTCTGACCATCTGTCTGTCCATCTGACCATCTGTCTGTCCATCCTGGCAAGGCCGCCGCTGACTCCTCCGGTTTGACCCCAGTTCCACACTGTGCGTGGTTTTGTTGTTTGTTTGTTTGTTTGTTTTGTTTTTCGAGACAGGGTTTCTCCGTGTAGTTTTGGTGCCTGTCCTGGATCTTGCTCTGTAGACCAGGCTGGCCTCCAACTCACCGAAATCTGCCTGGCTCTGCCTCCTGAGTGCTGGGATTAAAGGTGTGCACCACCTCCACCCGGCCTTGTGTGTGTTATAGAGACCACTTGAAGCAGTCCTGATCCAGGGCAGCATGGGAGAGGTTGCACCACTTCTCAAGCTACTGGTTCTATGAAACTCTGAGCACATTGCTCCCCTAAGGACTCTGCCCCAAGGGGGCTGGCTCATGGAGCACCCCAGGACACCAGGGTTGCCTGATCACCCCTTGGTGGGGAACAGGGGATCCAGTCAATCTCCCAGGGACCCATTTTTGCGACATTTAGTGGTCTTGGGGGTGGTACAGAGGTAACTCTCTAGAATGATCTCTCTCACGATGCTTTGTTCTCTCGTTCTAACCCACCAGAACAGGGCTTGGTGTGAGGCCCTCCAACGTGGCTACACACAGAATTCAAATGGAGAGAGAGAGGTCTGTCTGTCTACAGGACACCGTGAAATGGGAGTGCACTCCACAGTCTCATCCAGGGCTGACCAGCTATGCTGACGGATGCGCCCTCACAAAGATGGCTGCATGCAACCAGCCACGTCTTCTGTCATATCTCACTCCATCTCACATTACTGTAAGCATTCCTTACGCCTGAGGAAAAAAAGGGAAGGAAGCAGACAAGAGAGATGCCCAAGAGGAAGAAGCAACAAGGTCACTCCTCACGTAGTTAGGGCAGAGGTAGAAGCCCGAGTCTACTCCTGCCCACCCAACTCAGCTCCAAGAAAGGAAAAGCCTGGGGTTCCCCAAGCCCCGAACCCCTTTCTATGTGGGGAGCTCACTCTTAGTCTAAACGTTCACAAGTCAAACACCTTCCCCATCAGGCCCTGCCACTCTGTGATGGGCTCCATGGAGACACCCCAGACAGCACCTCATGCAGTCCCATTCAGGACCTGGGGTGACTTCTGCATTGTTCTTTTATCAAGAGTTATAATCTCTGATTCAAAAAAAAATTCCTGACATACTTTCCATGGGAGGTGATAGATGAGGGGATGGCCACCTATGACAATCACATGCTTTCTTACCCTGGTCACTGAGAATGGTGGAGACACACACACACACACACAACATTAAAGCAAAAAAAATGGACAGCACCTGAGGAAGCACACCCAAGTGTGTCCTTGGGCTCCCATACATGCACGTGCACTCACACACACAAAGAAAAGTCTCAAACGATGTCCAGGAAATGATGACAATAAAACCAATTCTCTCCTCCGGCCCCAGAGAACCACCGCAATTTGCACCCAATCTCTTCAGCTTAGGCTCACGGTCAAAAAGCGATAGCCTGCCAGGGGTGGTGGCACAATCCAGGAGGCAGAAGCAGGTGGATCTCTGCGAGTTCAAGGCCAGCCTGGTCGACAGAGCGAGATCCAGGACAGCCAGGGCTACACAGAGAAACCCTGTCTTGATGTCAGTAGGCTGCTTCACGGTCCCCAACAAGGCTCCAAACCCAGGCAGCATTCCAATCTCAGGTCCTTGGCCCACGGCTCCTCGGAACAAGTCTGGTTGCCCACTACCCCAGCTAGAGTCTCACAGCTGCAAGGCCCGGGTCGACTGTCCTCAGTCTGGCCCGTCAGTCTAGGATCTGGTAAGCCGATCTTAGGCTCGGGGCCCGGCTTTGAACACCATTTCCTTCAGCACCAGGCACTGAGGCCACTAGCGGTGACAGCAGCACAGATCTCCCAGAGAGGCTCCCAGGGTACCGGCTGGACAGGTGGAGCCCGGGTGGGGGTGGGGTTTGCTGCTTCCTCTAGGAAGCCATAGCACATGCCTGAGCACTACCCAGAGCAGGCCCCAGAGAGCCAGAGGAGATGGCATGCCCCACTCCTGGTCACCCACAGTACCCTGACTGGCATAGAGGTGCAGGACTCACCCTCCTCAGAACCAACCCTCAGGATCTAGGGGGGAAGCACAAACCACCGCTCAACTTGGTCCAGTTCCTGCTCTGCACAGAGACCCAGTGGCTAACCACTGTAAGTCACTCCTGCCCAGCTTGCGCCATCCTCCCTCCGGGCTGAAGATCCCTTCCAGCTGCCGGCTACATGCTGAGACTCCACAAAGTCCTTGACACTTGCTGCCCCCAGCTGGGGCTCCTCTTCCTGTGTTCCCAGCTCCCCTACCAGGCGTTAATTCCGCGTCATGGCCCTGCCCACCATTAAAGCCGTTCTTCCTAGGGATCCCGGCAGCACTTCAGTTCCATCTTGTGGGGTATGACTCACCTCCTACCTGCTGTGGCCTCAGCTAAGGGCAGCTCCAGCTCCTCCAGTCTCCCCGGAGGAGTCACTTCCAGATCTGTATCCTTACAAACATCACCGGGTCACCTAGAGATAACTAACTTACACTAACCTTTCAAGACTGGCTGAAGCGGTATTCTGCTTTCCCCAAAGGCCCTCACATTTCTCAAAGTTACCATGTTGCAGTTTAAAGTTGCATGTTTCCTAGTCTCTGAGAACCTCCAGCTTTTACACTGCATTCCAGTGTGTGCCAGATAGAGATGAGTTACCCTCGGGCCAGTAATCAGAGCACTTGGGAGGCGGAGGCAGAAGGATCAGAAGTTTCTGAATCTAGGCTCTTCGACTGTATTTACAATACATTTAAACATAAGAAACAAAATGTTGGGAGTTTGTCCCATTTCCCAAAACTGTTCGGAGTAGCCGTGTTTGGGAGCGGCGGGTCACACTTGTGGAATTCTGGGATCCTAGCCTCGATAAGCCCTTCAAGCTGGCCAAACCTGGGAGCTGCATGGAGGACAGCAGACTCATCATGGGTGACGGCTGCATTCCTACACACCGTACATATTTTAAACACTATCGGCCCTTCTTCCTAATTGGTAGTGACTGCGAGTAGGAAACTTCACAAAGTCCGGCAACACGCAGGAAACGGCCGTCTTCCTTGCCTGCCCAGCTTCAGGCCATGCCTGAGTGACTCTGCCTGACACTTCCGAACTCGGTAACCCGCTGGCCGCGCCGATGTCCCGCGCGGCCCCTGCCCACCTGGCCACCCCCCCCCCCCCGCGCGCACCTGCTCGTGGTGCACCAGCAGCACCCGCGACGCACACAGGCGCAGCACTAGCAGGTTGCGCACCAGTTCCCAGCTCCTCCGACTGCGGTACGCCTCTTGCGTGTTGCTGAAGTCGACGACTGGCACGGGCCGCCGCACAGCCTCGGCTGCTCCCCATGCCCGCACAGCCCCTGGGCTCGCGGCGGGCTGCGCACGTGGTGCCGCCGAGCGCAGCAGGAAGACGCGCCTCAGAGCCATGGCGGAGCCAACACGCGCGCCCGGGAGGCTTAAGTACGCTCGGCCAGCCACGCCCCCTGAGGCCACGCCCATTCCCGGAAGCCCCACCCACCACCCAGTGGCTCCGCTCCCATTTTAAGAAGCTTTGTCCGGCTCTGCAACCCCCTCCATCTCCCCTGGAGTCCTTCCCTGGCGTCCTGGTTTGGCGAGCTTCCCGTGGCTGACCACGCCTCCCCAGGCCGCAAACACTCCTCCTCCTGAGCCCACCCCCACTTCTACCCCCAAGACCCCGCCCCTTGGGAAACCGGGACAGTTAGCTCTGGGATTTAGCTCTGGGATTATCCTGTCCCTAGGCTGGCCAGGTAGGTCCAGAGTCCACTGGTCAGTACCATGACACCCTGGCACACCCGGTCCTCCGTTCCCAAGTAGCGGGGACTCACAGCTCAGGCCTGGCCTGAAGAATTCTGTCCCAGAAGGTGGTCCTCTCCCACCACTGCACCCTGCCTAAAATGCTGTCTTAAGAGCTGCCCTTTCCTGGTTTGTTTGGTTGTCTGTTTGATTTTTGCCCTTTAGACCGACTTCCTTGCCTCGGGGTAAGCAAGGGACCCCAGGCTCCTCTGTGAACCCTTGGAACTCTAGTGATTCCTCCCTCCCTTACCTCTCCACGCCCGCCGGGTACCAGCAGCAGCAGACGTCACCTACAGATCCTGGCTGCCTCTCCCTTGCACACACTTCCCTGTCACTCACTCCATGTTTCCCCTCTGGTATCCCATCCTCCTGCAGAGACCTAGTCTGGTCGTGGGTGGCAATATGACCCCCAGGACATCCCCTACGGGCTTGGCCCTGCCTTTCCTACACCTCTGAAGGAATTTTTTTGGAGCCGTGGGCCCTCCTGTCTGTCTGAGACTGGATATTTAGAGCTGCGTGATTCTTGATGGTGGGGACTGTCCTGTGCACTGCAAAATGTTTGTCACCATCTTTGGCCTCAGATGGCAGTTACACACACACACACACACACACACACACACACACACACACACTTGAAATAACCTAAAACATCTCCGATATTGCCAGATGCCCCTGGAAAGCATAATTCCCACTTGTCTTGGCTGAAGACAACTTCCTGAGACAGGACCCAGGTTTTTCCTGCTGGAACCTAATGAAACCTAAGGGGGAAAAGCAGAGCACATCAGAGGCATCAAAGCCCAGAGGCAGGAAGTCAGGAGTACCCTATGGCAGCTCAGGAACTTGACTAATAGGGAGCAGGATACCCTTGGAAACGCCGCCATGACCATCCACCCATCCTCCTTCTGGTCTAACCCACGCTCGCCGCACTCCCCCACCGCACCTCC